TCAATGCGAATGAAATCATAAAGTTAATAAGCTTTTTTTTCACATGCTGTACCTGAAGAACCTCAAAGTGGAAAACGTTTGTTAACCCTCTTGTGCACTTCGGTCATTTTGGACCAGAAAAACTTTACGTTTTGGTTTGGCACTTGCAATGTGAACACAAAAAAGAAAAAAAAGTTAAACGGTCCTGAAACAAATATTCACACTTGTACTGTTCGCAGTCAAAACTCTGGAAATGAACAGGAAGTGAATTTCATCTAGTGGAAACGTTTTGTACTGCACTCAAATAAAACCTTACTGAAAGCTCATTTTTAGAGATATCAACCTCAAAATTGGAACACAAGTTGTTTAGATCAGGGATGGCCAACGTCGCTCCTGGAGAGCCACAGTCCTGCAGAGTTTTGCTCCAACCTTGATTAAAACTCACCTGCCTTGTAGCTTTCTAGTAACCCTTAGTGCTTGATAGAGGCTTAGGGCCAGATTTACTAACAGCTTGCTCCAGCACAAACCCTCTTTTGGCGTACTGTTGAGATTTACTAAAGACGCGCAGTAAAAACAAAATTAGCACTGAAGAGACCTGGACACAGTCATATTTGCAGCTGATCTTATTGCATATGCATTTGTAGGAGTTTCCCTTTCAGATGCAAAATTTATGGGAGGAGAGCATTTATGATTTATTAAGGTTTGCGCTAGTCAATTTACTGGCATTTGCGACATTATTAACCGGCCAAAATAGCAAAGACGCTAATCTTGCACTGCTCTGTTGTCATTATGGAAATGATCCGGCTGCGTCTGTGTTCTTTAATTCGCACATTGTCAGCAGAACTTTATTTCTTCATTGCGCTCTCACGCTAATTTGCCTAAATCTATTTCTTCAGCTCTGATGTTGTACACACGTGTGATTGATGTTGTGTGTGTGTGTGTTGATCCTCAGGTCTGAGTAACATCATCGGGATAATCGTGTACATATCAGCCAACATGGGCGACCCGTCCAAGAGCGACTCGAAGAAGAACAGCTACTCGTACGGCTGGAGCTTTTACTTCAGCGCGCTGTCCTTCATCATGGCGGAGATGGTGGGCGTTCTGGCCGTTCACATGTTCATCGACCGGCACCGGGAGCTACGCGTGGCTCGCGCTCGGACCGGCGGAGGAGGAGACTATCTGCAGGGATCCGCCATCAGCAGAATCCCCAGCTACCGCTACCGTTACCGGCGCAGCTCGCGCTCCTCCAGCCGCTCCACCGAGCCCTCGCACTCGCACGACGCTTCACCCGTGGGACTCAAGGCGTTCGGAGCGCTGCCCTCCACCGATATCTCCATGTACGCGCTGAAGACTCCACACGGCACGCCACCGATGTACAACTCCGAGAGAGAGCCGGACTTCCTACAGGTGCACAACTGCATCCAGAAAGACTCCAAAGATGCCAATCGTCGCACCACACCTGTATGAGACTACAGGTGCGGTGTCTGTGCTGCCTCCTACAGGTGAGGAGGAGAATCACTCCACCCACAGACCCACTGACTGATTTCTAACACTAATGATGATGAGTTTACACATTGAAGTCCAAAATGGAAACGTGAAATGCATGTTTTTCGTATCTTCCATAAACTAACAAGTTTTCAACCACGTGATGAATCAGAGCTGATGACGATGGCGTTTGGACTGAAAGCTCTTTTCGTGGTGTTCATTTCATTTTGTTGCACATAAATACTGTGAACCTTTGTGGCCGCTGTGAGGCCAGGGAAAACAATCCCACAAACTGGCCGCGATTTATATGTCATTATAAACGTATTAATGATACATGACTATATATATATATATGAAAAGATACATACATAAATACATGAACATCTGTTAATAGACCTCACATAGACTTCTTGATTCAAGAAGACGCAAAAAACAAAAGGGCAAATCAGAAGTCAATAAAATCATCATGGATAATAAGAGCTGGATTCATGTCGACTCATTTGCATGTGTTCATTCAAACAATCCTGAAAAACTCTTAAGGTGCTAGACTAGACCAGATAAGACCAACAAACCTCCTCAGGCCGGTTTTTCAGCAGCATCACAGACATCACAAGATCTCACTCCCTCTGCTGGCCGTGAGACGAACACACAGCATGACAGTGTGTGTGTGTGTGTGTGTGTGTGTGTGTGTGAGTGAGTGC